CTCTTACACAGTACACCTCTCTGGTTTTATGGGTCTGGGTCACCTGGTGATCTTGACTCAGGTGTGGCCTTGAAGATGAATCAGAAAGGACAGAGGAGGAGGAGGTGTGTGTGTGTGTGTGTGGGGGGGGGGTGTAAATATACAAAAGCTTGTACAAGATGTCACCTACCTCTGTAGTTAAAAAAAGAAATTTCTGTCAAAAAGGAAAAGGAAACTTTTTTGCCTTTCAGTCCACGCTTATTTCATTCCCTTCATCCTGTCACCCAAAAAAAATATTTATATGGCTCTGCTGGAGCTTTTAAGTGCGCCAGATTACACAATTCCGGCAATATATCATTTTTGTGAACATCTATATCATACATTGTGGTATAAATATAACTCGACTACATCAGATGTGATATTTTACAGCTGTGTCTGTTTAGATTYCCTGGTAAGAAATGCTGCCGCAGCTGAAGCGCTTTGTGTTTCAGCACCTCGGACAGCGACTTATCTGCCCTGTTTCCTCATCTTGATCACAGAAACAAGAAGGGATGAATGCTCTTACAGCCTATATACAGTACAATATTGTTTATTAAGCGGGACATATAGGGATTCTTCTATAATCTTCACAATTAATGTACATTTAGTGAGCAAAGTCACTGAACATTAAATCAGTCAAAGCTATACGCAAATTTCCGAAATGTAGAACACACAGTACTGTGAAATATTCATAAATTAGATATATTATTTTTTCTTTTAAATAAAAAGGGCTTTAAGTCATCTCTGGTGGCTGAAATTTGTTGCCTCTTTTTTCTCTTCTTCTTCTTCTCTCTTATAATAAACGCGGCCTAGATTTGGCTTATTTTTCAACATGTTTCAGCATCCAAACACCATTGACAGCACAACATAAAGAGGTAAAACTTCCATTCGTGCAAAACAAAAACACGCCCCCTTCTTGGGCGTAAAAGCACTTCTTCTCCATCATCTGGGTTGTCCGTATAATTCCTCATTCTTCACTTGGACGGGGAAAAAATCATAGATTCTTTTGTTTAAGGCTATACAAACGTAAATTAGAGCATAACACACTCGGCCTGTCCGGGACATCAGTTTCTCTTCATCCTCTCTCTCCTTGTCCAAAAACACCCCGTTTGTTTTCCAAGCAAGTAGGGGAAAAAAAATCCACGAGCACATGCCAATCACTGGCCGATCATAGTCATCCAGAATGCGTAAAAGTTGACTGATGGGCTTGGATTATATGAAACTCCAAGGAAACGTCGAGATTTGACTATAGATAGTTGACGAGTGTGGAGATATTCGTCGGCTTCCTTGGCTGACAGTTATTAAAATTGAAAAATAAATGGCATGTCTTCTTTTTTTCTCTTTCTTGCTTTTGTTCCTCGGCCTGTTTAGCAGAGAGTCCGTCGCAGATTGGATTATAGAGGAAAGACTAGAAAGCCTGAGAAGGTGGAGTATTTCCATCCGCCCATGAGGGTGCCCCGCTCCAGCTTCAGGTAGACGCGGTCTTCCCGTTCCACCATCAGCAGTACCCCGTTGCTGGCCGCCTCTCTCGTCACGTCCTGATCACCGGCGAACGCTGATATAACCGGATAATCGTTCTGCATCAGGTTCACCTGCACGGGGGAAAGCAGAAAGGCGCGCGGAGTTGAGTCTCTGCGCCCCTGAACTGTCCACCCACATTTACTCCATTACTCCTCACCTGTATAGTTTGTCTGTTGTAGACCTTCACCACATGAAAGCTGAAGCTATAGATCCCCCTCCTCGGAGCCTGGAAAACACTTGCTTTCAGATCGAAATGGTTGCCGAT